TTTTCCTTAAACTTGTTTAGGCCGTAAGAATATTCATTATATACCATTTCTGTTGCAAAGGTTCTAGCATAGTTCATCTTGACTAATGCCCTTGACTTCCAAGTATAAACAGAAAAATAGAGAAAGGTGACAAGGATTGATTAGCAACCCTCCTTGTAAGCGAAGCGGTAAACCTATCTAGATAAATCACTCTCTCGAAAGCCTGGAGAATGTACTTTAAAAGAATTAAGGGTAGGGTGTGTGTGTGTGTTTAATTGATAGGGAAATTTTCTAGAAGAGCCACAAGGACACAAAGACTCTATCTGGTCTGTTTTAACTGTCCTTCAATTTTTATTTTTAAAAATTGGCTTGTGGGTTTTACTAAGCTACTGGAATGATGATTTGCTTTCTCTTTTTTTTAAGTGGAACTAAGAAACATTAAAGCAAACTGAAATCAAGATCTGCTGCCTTTTTGAATATATATGTATACATACATATATTCTTTGTTATCATTAGGCTTTAATTTTAGGGCTGAAAGGACTCACCTGATTTCCCCTCTGGCTCTTTTAAGCCATCACAGCAGATAAGTGATAACATATTTTAGTATTTACTGACATTTACTCCGTGCCAGGCAGTGTTCTAAGCACTTGACATATATTAACTCATTTAACCCTGACATCCACCGAATGAGACAGGTACTGCTATTATCGCCACACACCCTATAAAGAAACTGAAGTGCAAAGAAGCTCAGCAGCTTGCCCCTGGAGGAGCGGATCTGGGATCTGAACTCAGACGCCAGAGAATGTGCTCTCAGCGGCTCCATTACGGCCTCCCTCTTTTCCTCTCCCCTTCTTTCTAGAATTTCCAACCCCAGTGATTAATTTTCATTCTCACCGGCCTTTACCTAGTGTTGGGTTCCTCAGCTCCCGATTTGGGGCTCCCTTTGGGGCTGTTTTTTTCCCTCTGGCCGGGTGAAGAACCGCGCTTCCCCTTGCCGCCAGGCCCTGCTGCTCCCGCACCCTCTTGCCTGGGCATTGTCTCCACCTCTCAAACCAGTTTTGCGTGTATTACATCAGGACTAGCAGCCGGTGCTAAAAGAATGGCTTGACCGTCCTGAGTAAGGTCATAGTAGTAGTACAGTTCCCCCGTGGTTTCCACACAGTGTCCCCTGTTCCCGTCCATCACATCCTTTTGTCTCCTACTTTTGTGGGATCGCATCCTCTTTCTGTGATGCCATTTTTTGTGTATGAATATGTCTCAGATGTCCCGGGGCCTTTGCATTTGGACGGTAATCCACAAGCATGTTCACCTCTCTGTGGACATCATAGAGCATCTCTTCAGGTGATTTGTGACAGTTTATAACTATGTATCCTGGGATCTCCTGGCTCTTGAGACACAAATCTATTAATATGTTGAATGTGTAAATTCCCATTTTGTGTAAAACCGTCAGAGACGGTTATGTGATTCAGGATGACAAATGGGTACTGTGGACCAGCTGTTGGCATGTTATGCAGGGAAGATAGAAAGAATGGAGCCCGGCCGGCGTGGCTCAGCAGTGGAGCATCAGCCTGTGATCCACCAGATGGCAGTGCGATGCCCTCAGGGCACAGGCCCGGGTGGGCTCCATCCCCAGCAGGGGGCGTGCAGGAGGCAGCCGATCAATGGCTTTCTCTCATCACTGATGTTTCTGTCTCTCTCTCCCTCTTCCTTCCTCTCTCTGAAATCAATAAAAATATATTTAAAAAAAAGAAAGAAAAAGAAAGACAGACTGGAGCACCATCTCCCACCGCCCCACACTCAGGGCCCTCAGGCCACCCCCCACTCCCCTACTTTGGATCATCTACTGGGTGCTCCCCTCCTACTGAAGATGAAATCGCACCATGAGTTTTCTGCTTCCCAAGCCAAAGATAATCATGACCTGATTACCGGGTCCCATACAGCATGGAGTTTGCAACAGGGAGTTTACGGTGATCGCTGCTGTGTATTATTAAGAATCTCACAGGATTGAAATTTGTATCTGCAGCTTCTCCCCGCTATCCTCACACTTCCACAATAATAATTACTGAGTGTGAGGTGGCTGGGGATGGGTGGTGAGCAGTCCCCTCGTATACATGTTCTTGACTGTACCGCAGGTTTGTTTTGTTTTGTTTGTTAATTACGGATGTTTCTAGGCTGGAATCATTAAGCCCTAATGGACCTGACATCCTCCGGAGCCCCTAGACTCAGGACCCCCGGCTGCCGCTTCAGTTGCATTGGAGCAGGGTCTTGGCTGCTTTGCCTGTTTCTTTCTTTGAAAAAAGTGCACATGCTTGCTGAAACTGTCTGCAGTATGTCCAATTAGTGCACCAAGTTTCCCTTTTAACTGGCAAGTTTACATTCTTGTGATCTTCTACCCAGGCCGTGGGAGCTTTGGCCAGTGGATTGGAGTTGAGGGTGTGTTTTCCTTCCAGCTGGGGAGCTTAGGTGTTCCTATGGCACCCGTTCTTGCCTTTGTCACGTTGTGACGGTGTTGGAATTTGTGTTTCCCTCACCTAACTAAAATTCTTTTAAGACTCTGAGCCTGCAGCCCAGGGCCTGGCTTCAGTGTGGATGTAAAATAGCACTAATCTTTGTTTTCCCTGCTTCTTCCCAAACATCATACCACTCTGTGGGGCCACATTTCCTGTCCCTGGATGGAATCTAGGACAGACTTAGTTGCTTCTTGACTTCTCTGGGATTATAAATATACATATTTCTTGTGTTATAATTATGCAGTGTAATAAAAATTGCTACATCAGCAATGATATTACAATATATAAATGTATCAAAATCACACTGCTTCTACCTTAAACTTAACCAATGTTACACATCAAATTTATTCCATAAAAATAAACTTTCAGTCACTTTTATCCATAAACACAGCCTTGGGTTAGTATCTGGTCTCGCCCAGTGTAGTAACATTTTATTCATTCAGGGGNAAGAAAGACAGACTGGAGCACCATCTCCCACCGCCCCACACTCAGGGCCCTCAGGCCACCCCCCACTCCCCTACTTTGGATCATCTACTGGGTGCTCCCCTCCTACTGAAGATGAAATCGCACCATGAGTTTTCTGCTTCCCAAGCCAAAGATAATCATGACCTGATTACCGGGTCCCATACAGCATGGAGTTTGCAACAGGGAGTTTACGGTGATCGCTGCTGTGTATTATTAAGAATCTCACAGGATTGAAATTTGTATCTGCAGCTTCTCCCCGCTATCCTCACACTTCCACAATAATAATTACTGAGTGTGAGGTGGCTGGGGATGGGTGGTGAGCAGTCCCCTCGTATACATGTTCTTGACTGTACCGCAGGTTTGTTTTGTTTTGTTTGTTAATTACGGATGTTTCTAGGCTGGAATCATTAAGCCCTAATGGACCTGACATCCTCCGGAGCCCCTAGACTCAGGACCCCCGGCTGCCGCTTCAGTTGCATTGGAGCAGGGTCTTGGCTGCTTTGCCTGTTTCTTTCTTTGAAAAAAGTGCACATGCTTGCTGAAACTGTCTGCAGTATGTCCAATTAGTGCACCAAGTTTCCCTTTTAACTGGCAAGTTTACATTCTTGTGATCTTCTACCCAGGCCGTGGGAGCTTTGGCCAGTGGATTGGAGTTGAGGGTGTGTTTTCCTTCCAGCTGGGGAGCTTAGGTGTTCCTATGGCACCCGTTCTTGCCTTTGTCACGTTGTGACGGTGTTGGAATTTGTGTTTCCCTCACCTAACTAAAATTCTTTTAAGACTCTGAGCCTGCAGCCCAGGGCCTGGCTTCAGTGTGGATGTAAAATAGCACTAATCTTTGTTTTCCCTGCTTCTTCCCAAACATCATACCACTCTGTGGGGCCACATTTCCTGTCCCTGGATGGAATCTAGGACAGACTTAGTTGCTTCTTGACTTCTCTGGGATTATAAATATACATATTTCTTGTGTTATAATTATGCAGTGTAATAAAAATTGCTACATCAGCAATGATATTACAATATATAAATGTATCAAAATCACACTGCTTCTACCTTAAACTTAACCAATGTTACACATCAAATTTATTCCATAAAAATAAACTTTCAGTCACTTTTATCCATAAACACAGCCTTGGGTTAGTATCTGGTCTCGCCCAGTGTAGTAACATTTTATTCATTCAGGGGTAAATCTCCTCTTGCAGCTCCTTTTTGCCGTAGCTGCGAAGCCTGCAGTGGGGAAGAGAGTTCTGCCAGGCTTCTCGTCTCTCTAACACATCTGCTCCTCACCAGGCAGCTCTGGCTGCTTTGGAGTAGACGGAGTAGGCAGGGCCGAGAAAGGGAGGGAGGTCACAGTGTGACATCACCCTGCCATTGCTTTCTTCTGGCCATGGCAGGCAGATGGAAGCCTGACTTGTTCTTCCCTGGGCACTTCTGTAGGTTCTCTGGAATGCCCCTCCCTCCTTCATTTCTGAACCTGTGTTTCCCGTGACGTGGGGACATACACCTGCTTTTTCATTCCAGGGGTGTGCGCTGAGGTTTTCTCACTGACGCACAGCTGCCTTAACTCAGATTCAGATGCTGGCAGTGTTTATGGGGCATCTAGATGGAAGCACCCTGTAGGGCTTAGGGAATACTCTTCAAAGGCCTAGGAGAGAGTCAGGGGTTGGAAATACAGATGTGCTGGGTGAGTGCTATGCAGATGGTGGTTGAAGTCATGAGAGTGGACGTGGTTGCCCAGGAAGAGACATGGAACCTCACAGAGATGCTCATTTAAGAAGCAGGAGAAGGAAAAGAAGTGGGCAGAGGAGGCGGCAGCCTCTTCCAGAGTGTTGGTTGTATAAAGGGGCAAACTGTATAGGCGTCAGCCCAGAATTATGTCAGTTATTGTGCCTGTCTTTTAAGCCGAATGTGGAACTTATACATACATACATTTTTATTTCAACTGTGAAAAGACCCTAAACTGTTTTCCTCCCGTCTTAAAAATTGATGTTAATTTTACTTGAGAATGTTTAATTCTTTGAAAATAAATTTTAACTCTTCTTTTTCCAGTTGTGTATGAACACAGATCAAGATTAGAAAAATCCTTGCAAAAGGAAAGACTCGAACATAAGAAAGCAAAGGAAGGTAAGTAAATAAATGCAATTTGTGTTTTGTTTTTATCATACTCTTCTTTGAAACATCATGTATTTGCTTTACTTTTTTTTTTGGTAAGAAATTGATGTTACCGACCCAAAGTCAGTTTTATAGGTAGACAGAAAGAGATGTCAAGCAATTTGCTGTGCCTTGTGCAATAAAATAATTCCTGCTCAAGACTAGATTTAGAGTCTCTCATTCAGTGTGTGCCACCTTGCGGTAGTTCATATAGTGGTTCTATATATTATTTCAGAAATAGCTTCTCATTTGAATATTATACACATGTTACTAATACGTGGAACTTTTGTCTACAAATATCCAGAAAGCAACAGTATGCATTGTCCAGAATATGACAGATTTTATATATATATAAGCATATATAAACACATTATAACATAATACAGTGATCACATTGTGTGATGACTTTTGAGTTATGCACCTGTTTTTATCTTGTGACGGCTTTTACTGGACAGCTGATTAGTTCATTTTGAAAAATTAACATTTAGCACAGGTATTATTAGGCAATGCTATGATTTTTATCAGAATTTTGGTATAAAGCACAGGCTTTATACAGCTTGTGATTTAAAGTTATCTACATTTATATCTTTATTCATGTTCTGTGATAAATCTTGAGATTTAAGTGAGGTGTTCTGTCTGATTAACTCGGTGGGTAGAAGGAGGGAGAAGAGGAGAAGGTGGGATGTTTTACTAACCCTTGGATTAAGCCTGTGTGAAGAACAGAAGTTTAACGTCATGAAAATGTTTGGATAGGAGTTGGATTTTTCTCGTCTTCAAATGCAGAGTGATTTTCCAGGGCCATCTAGTGGATAGTGAGCTCTGAGCCTGAAAGATGTTTTCAGTGGCTTGAATTCTCTTTCTAGGTCCTGAGTGAGTTCAGTGTGCCATCTAGTGGGTAGCAATAAATCATCTCTCTAGGTGTGCTGCCTGTTTTATTTCCTCCTTAATTTCAGGGCTAGTTAATTACAGACCACATTCTAAATGCACCTTTAATCAGTCAGTTATAATGTGAATATTGTTGATGCAAGATTTACAGCTTTAAGGTAAAGAGGAAAATTATATAATAGTTTTTTCAACTTTTTCTAAAGTTTCAAGAGGCAAAATAAAGCATATATAAGTCACCAAGCAGACTGTTTTAAACCTAGAACTTTTTTTTTGTAAATCTGAGTAAAGTTTGCCTTTATTCTTTTAGATGTTTAAAAATTTCACAAGGAATGAACTTATACTCTGTTTCCTCCATTTTGCATTTTTTTTTTTTTTTTTAGATTTTCTTGTTTATAAGTTAGAAGCACAAGAAACACTAAATAAAGGAAGGGTAAGTTTTCTTTTTTAATTTTTATTTCATAAAACCTAGAAGAGAGGAAATTGTTGTGAAATCTTTTACTCTGTTGATCATTAGTATTGTAGGGCTGAAATATATATATATTTTTGCTACCAAAAATTTTAAGAGGAAGACTTTAAAAGTTGTTCTTTTAAAACCTGCCTTTGCTTATTGCATTATTTATGACAGCAATAAATTGGGAATAGCTTAATCTTCCGCAATAAAAAGCATATCATTTATTTATTTGTTCATTTGTTTATAATCTTTCTTTTCTATAGAATATAATATTTATTTTGGTTTGCCTTTGCACAACATTACTGCTCCTTGCCCAGACACGAATTACTGTGTGACGTCTGACAGCACTGTGGTGCTCCTGTCTATCAAAGTGCACGTCCCTCTCAGTGCCAGCCAAGAGATTACCACCTTCGAGAAGTCTTCCCTCACTCCTCTCCCATCCAGAGCTCATCCAGAAACATTTGTCCAATGCATGAATGAATAAATGATATTGGCATTAAAAAAATTTAAGTCCAGATTAACTGGAGAAAAACTAGTCTTTCTCTTACTCTAAAAAAAAACATTAACCTTTAGTTGAATAAAATCATTGGCATTTTGGGATCTTAAACTGAGAAGAGTCAGTTCCTTGGGTAGCAGGGAGGCTATTACTTGCTTTTAAAAGCCCTGACCAAAACTGTGTGCATTCTATTGTACATTTTATAATGTAAATTCCTTATAAATTAAAGTAGTAAAGCAATAAAATAAAGCGAGAAAGAAAAAAGGCAGTTCAATTTTAGAAGTTGTAAAAATCTGAACTAAGAAATGATTGAGAGCGTGTCCCTGTGCTGGCCATGGGGCGGTGTGTGAGACGGAACGACACAGTGGGGAGAGAAAAGCTTCAGGTGTCTCGCACACTGGCTGGTCATGGCTCCCAGGACTGTGGGAGTGTGTGAGGCCCGCATGTGGACCTAGCGATCCACTGGGACCCAGCGATCTACTCCTGGAACATGGATCCAGCCGCAGGTCAGGCTCAGGTTTCAGCCCTGGCTCTGCTACTGAAGGAAATGCTTGCCCTTGGTCAGTTTCTTATCCTTTCTAATTGTCACTTTGAGATGGCGTCTCATTGGGGTAAAGTAGTGTATGTAGAATTTCTTACCCACTGAAGCTCAGGGAAGGAAAGCAGCTTTTCTCTCCCTTCCTGTTTGCCAGGCTAAGCTTGTGAGGCCCGGTCCTTGTTGGCTCAGCCCCTTTCCCTTGGGCACCGGGCGTAATGCATTATTATCTGCCTGCTGTACTGGGTCTCAGGACAAGCTCCTTTGTACATCTGGGCATCAGTTCTTCTGAATCTGAGAGTGGAAGCCATCTCCAAGGCCCTGTCAAGCTGCTAGTTTATGATGCCGTATCTTCTTTCTTATTACTAAAATCTAGCAAACTTATGGAATGTGAAAGCTTTATTTCTGCTGTTATATGAAGGCTTGGCCTCAGAGACATCCTGGTTCAAGTGTAGAACTCAGCTTACACAAGTGAAATAAATGTAATTCTTCCGTTAAGAGTTTTAGTCTGTGTTTAGCAAAAGAGCCAGATTTTTAAAATTTTTGTGTTAACTATTTTCTTTTCAATTTACAGCAAGATTCTAATAGTAGATACAGTGCGTTGAATGTGCAGCATCAGATGTTGAAAGTGAGTAATTTAATGTTGTTCTTTGTGAATGACTTTTAAAGGATAAATTAAGTAACTTAAGCGATTAAGGACAGTTACAGAAAGCTGATTTCTATTGTAATATGGCATCGTAAAGTCATATTTGGTTAAAAATGATATATAAGTATAATTCCCCATCATATTTACTACCTCATTCCAAAGAACATATTTAACTTATTATACATTTTCTTATAAATCAGACTCTCTGGTCAACTAATTTTTCTTTTGTTCTTCTCTTTATTCTTTAAGGCTTTTTGTCTGTTTGTTTCATTTCTCTCAGAGGTTTTCCTTAGATATTTTCTTTATCTTAGACACACTGGAGGTGGTAAACTATTAAAATGCCTCCTTTGTGCTACTACTATTTAAAAAGTGTCTTTTTACCTACCACAGGGACACAATTTATAATTAAAGATTTTCCTTCCTTGGTTCTGGCGTAAAACTCATTATTGTGTGTCAGGAAGACAGAGAGAGAGCCATTATTTCTGTCCAGCTAGAGGGGGTGGAGGGGCTGCCACTGTGCCCTTCTGCGCGGCAGGAAAGCCTCGCCCCGGCCTCCACCCCCAGCACCCCAGCTGCTGGTTGGGACTGTCTTTCCTCCTGTATCAGTAGGGCCAGTACTTTTACTGAAACCAGACTCTTCTCTATTATCAAGAAAGCAATACATGAATTACAGCAGACTCTCCTTTCACATGAAGCATTTGGAGACTAGAATTTATCGAGGTTGTCAATACTACAGCATCACATTATAATCAGGAGTAAGGTAGAAAAGAGTAATTCAGTGAACAATCAGTTTATTACTTCCCCCAGAGGGAAGAGTCTTTTCTCCCGCCTTCTTTAAACTGGGTTAGGAAGGCTGAAAATCAAAGAAGGGGAATAAAACATGTTTTTAGAACAACAGGTTGAGAGAGGAAGCGTAAAATATCCACAGAGCGTTAATTTTTCCACTAGCTTCACCTTGTTTCCACAGTAATTCGAGTGCCTGGGAATGTCCCCAGATCCCTCCCTTTTCCATCTCTCCTGCTGACATCTCACTTCTTGTTGTTTCCATTGATGTTAAACATTAAGAAGAAAATTATTTTTGGCCACAATCCCAAACTCATTATTTGAAATGTAAGGGGAATGGAGGTGAGCTCCACAAATTGAAAGCAACCTGAGGAAAACGAAACCCACTTCTTCATTCGCTCTTACTTCCTCGCAAGAGAAAGGCCGTGTTATTGAGGAATAGACTCTGGTGTAATTTAGAGAATGGGCGGTTTTGCTCAAGGCCTCCTCTTCGCAGAGTCAGCACGAGGAGCTAAAGAAGCAGCACAGCGACTTGGAAGAGGAACACCGCAGGCAAGGCGAAGACTTCAGCAGGACCTTTAATGACCATAAGCAGAGGTACCTGCAGCTGCAGCAAGAGAAAGAACAGGAACTTTCTAAGCTGAAAGGTATTTGGAAATCCGATTAGCCAGCCTATATGGAAATAAGTGCTCATATTAATGTTTCAATAGAACAATAGGCTTTTGTTTTATTTTGTCTGTTTTTTGCATGGCGGTTGGTTTATCTGTAATTCGCAGTCCTTTCCTGGCCACTTGTTTCTTTGTAACATTTCTCATTTATCTTTATCTCTTTGGCTTGTTTAGGGAAGCAGAGAATATTTAGTATTTTTCAGTGGGGCGCACCCAGCACGTTGGGCAAGACAGTTCTGTGTGCGTGTGTGTGTGTGTGTGTGTGTTGGGAGACATTTGGCATCTCTAACCTCAGCCCACAAACTGCCATCCATCCCCTCTCCCCAGTCATTGCGATGATCAAAACTTGGGATGGTGAAGCATTTCTAAAAATCTTCAAGGGGAAGAAACACTTCTGACCGATGGCTGATAGTAGCTTGCAATGGCTCAGGCCCCTAGAGTCTGACTGCCTGGTGAGCCTTGGCCTTTTCGGTTACTGGCTGTATGACCAGCTGTGTGAAGTTGTGTAATCGCCACTGGCTTCGTTGTCTTCACCTGTAAAACTGGGATATCCATAAACAGTATCAGCCTTGTAGGGTTCATGCAAGGGTTAAATAATTTATGTAAAGCACCGAGAACAGCTACTGGTATGTGGTAAACCTTCAATATATATCAACTGCCATCAGTATCGGCATCAGGCATTTTCTTAGTAATATGGAACAAAATGTGTTACTTTCTCAAAGTACATGTGGGTTTTAGAAAAGAGAAATGGCACATTCTACAATTACCTACCTATTCAGTGATTAATAAAAAGTAATATTAAATTTAAATAAACTATTTAAATAAGTTTAAAGTGTGAAGAATGCTTTAAAAAAGATACAGGGTGCTTCCGAAAGCAGTGGTGAAGTCTGAGAGAGGTCTGTCGTCTAGTTAACTGTACTGTTCCTGGTTTGGTGTAGAACATGACATTTATGTAAGATGCCATTGTCGAGAGAACTGAGTGATAGGTACCTTGGACTTCTCTGTGTTTTTTATGCAACATTTTATCTGTAAGTATTTCAAAATAAAAACTTATAACGAACAGGCTGCTGGGAGGAGGCAGTTTACAAAGGGTTAAGGCGGTCTTGATGGAGCCGGGCTGGGCACCAGCAGGTGGTACCCAGGGGCTGTAGACGTGCAGGAGCATTGGCTTGTTGCTGATGCCGCAGGTGGTGAGGGTTCCTTAAGACCACAAAACAGCGAAGCATCTATTTGACAGCCTTGGAGCAGTTGCTGTCTGCTGCTAAGGTTCCAGTGAGATGCAAGAAAAAAGGGTCCTTGCGCTTTCTGTCTGTCTGATTGTGGCAGCCAAGATTGAATAGGGGAATACAAAAAAAAAGAAGAAAAAAAAGGTAACCAAACGAAGGAAGGAAGGAAGACAGCGCCAGAAGTGCAAAGGTAGTGAAGGAAGAGAGGAGCAGAGGCCTCCCTGTGAGACAGCACTTGCCGTGCCCTGGGAAGCTCTGCCTGCCTTTGGCATATTGGATACACTGTTTAGCATTTGCAAACCTGTGCTAAGCTGAGTAAATGTATTAAATTATACTGATAATAAATAAGTAGATTCTTTAAGGCACGGGAAATAAAATTTCCTGGGTGCCTGACCTGTGCTTGGTATACTTTACACAGTTAACTTAATTTTAGCAGTATCCCTCAAGGGCAGGTTTTTTTATGTCTATTCTATATTTACTCCTTTCTTGGAAGCAAAATCCACGTGTAGTACAATTTTAACGAATTTTATAGAGAAGTAAGAAATAAGAACCACAGAAAAGAGGACATCTGTGTGAGTTCTGCGTACTAAGATGATTGAATCCTGTAACCTGGTCTGAACTTCTGGCACCCAGGACAAAAGGGGAAATACAGTAAGTTATAGAAGCTCTCGTTTTCAGAACGGGAGTGGCAGAGACAGAGACAAAGGGAGAGTAACAGTGACAGAGTGAGAGAAAACACTCTATTACCAATTAAGTTTTGGAAAAAATTTCTCAAAGAGACCTTAGCCAGCAGAGTGTGACAATGCCCTGATGACACTTACAAAAAATTACTTACAAAAGTAATGTTTACATCAGCAGTTTTGTTTATGATCCCTGATAAAGCTTGGGGTAGCAAGTTAAAGTGATAGACGCAGGTCAGCAGTGGCAAACTAAGGTGTGTGGTCCAAGTAGTCTTTGGTAGTATGTTGTGATAGGAGGAGAGAATTTAGAATGCCTAGGGAGATGAGCTGATATAAGCTTAGATAATTATTTTTTTCATTTTCATCATCACAATAGCTGACACTCAACAAATATTTACCATGTGCCAGAACCAGGTGAGACACTTAGTGCAATTGTCTTATTTAATTCTCACAACAACCTGTAAGTCAGGTGTGTGTTTAGCCCAATTTAACAAACAAAGAAATTGAGGCCGACTAAAGTTGAATAACTCACTGTAACAGCAAAGGCATGGGGTCCAGCACCATTAAGTTTGTAATCTGTAAGTACTTTAAAAGCTAGCAAAGGTTGGGTATTTCAAGTGTGTTTGTTCAGATGTGTTTAAACGAAAGCCCCTTCCAGCCAGTGACACATTGACAGTCCTCTTGGATCACCAGTGGTCCTGTTTTGACCTTGAGAAAATCCATTATTACATGTAGACGAACAGACCAACCACTGGCCCCATTTCCCACCTTGTTGATCTCTGCCCCAAACCCAGTCGCGAATCAATGCCCAGGAGTTGGCAGGGACTCCTAAGGTGTGAAAATGGGCAGAAAATATGTTGAGCGCTGGTGACTGGCACTTTCCTTCAGTGCTGAGTACCACGCAGGAGGGTCAGGGTTTATCTGCAAAGGGGTGGCTGCCCCTGAGGGACAGTTTGCCCAGCACAGTCTCGGTTGACATCTGCTGTTCCAGTATAATAATTAACAGCACCTCCTTTCACTCTCAGAAGTATTTCCTCTTGGAAGATGAATTATATGGTCACTTTACCACCATGCAACTTTCATTGAGTGTTCACATGAGAATTGGCCTAGTGTTGCCAGATTTTACTAGACCCAGATGATGATGATGATGATGATGATTATTATTATTTTAGTATGTCTTTTATTGATTTCAGAGAGAGGAAAGGAGAGGGAGAGAGAAACATCTGTGATGAGAGAGAGTATTGATCTGTTGCCTCCTACAGGCCCCCTACTGGGGATCGAGCCCACAACCTGGGCATGTTCCTTGACGGGGAGTCGAACCCTGATCTCCTGGATCATAGGCCGATGCTCAACTGCTGAGCCACGCCGGCCAGGCTAGACCCAGATTCTTGATTTTGTAAATGGAGCCAACTATTCAAATCAAATGTGGGAGATACTTATATAAGCCAACGTTGCAGGGGCAAAAAAAAATGTGGCTGCCAGTTTATAACATCTAATGTTCAGATACAGGGAATGTGAGAAAATTACCAAGAAGGTAAGAACAGTGGGTCTAGTCTCTTTAAGCTGCTGAAGCTGAACCCTGAATAAGCTTGGGGAGGTTTTAGGACTTCTCTATGATGGCTTTAGTCTCCCCTTGCGACCCTGGAAGTACTTCCCTAGAGCAGAGAATTTCGATCAGTCAGGAGCTCAGTGGTAGGAGAACAAAAATGTATTTAGAATTTTCAAGAGGTAAGTGGGATTTCTCTCTGTCTCTTATTTCTTGAGTTGCCTTTATAATTGAAATACCTTTTGGGGTTAGTGGAAATTATTCATGCTCTGAGAAATAGGGTGTGTGCTTTTTGATAACTATGTTCTTAATTCGTAAAGAGACTCATGTCTTAGATTACCCCGGCCTATCACATTTTATTCCTAAGGGCTTATTAACAGAAATCTCATTTTTAACTCCTGAGTAATTGAAAATTCTTAACTTCTCCCACAGTGTATGACCTGTTTAAACGTATGTAAACTACTGACCCAGATTGTACTGGGATGTTCAGCTGAATCCATGCCAAATGGTATAGTTTTTGTTGATTTGGAATATTATATTATTTAAGTTCAAAACATCCTAAAACAAGTTATATGAAGCTTTAGATATGAAAACATTGGAATCAAAAGTCTAAAAGTTCTAAGGCTTTATATGTGATTTTTCTTTTTCTAAAATAGAAACCGTGTACAATTTGAGAGAAGAGAATAGACAACTGCGGAAAGCTCACCAGGACATTCACACTCAGCTCCAAGATGTCAAGGTAAAATCAAACCACGCCTCTGACAGCATAGTCTCTGCCTCATTTACTTTTGAGGAGTGATTTAAAAGTCATTTTCTAATTGACCTGCTCTGCAAAACCACGCTGTTAACTGGGGCTTTGCATCAACCGGAGTGTGCCCAGTACTTTCACCAGTTCTGCATCGTAAGCTAAAGAAAGATGGTCTGAAAATCCAAACATTTTCGTTGGTACCGAAATTATTCTTTTGCTAGATGGTTGCATTTTAATACGCTTTTTATTTACAAAGGTTTGATAATAATGAAAGACTCGTTCCTTCGGTTTTGATTTCATTGTAAATGGTAGCACGTTCTAGAGTTTGAAATACTGCATTAATCGTAGTTGTCTCCTTACAACGCTTTTTAAACTTAACAAATGCTGCGACAACAAAGAAATAAACAAAAAGGCAAGCAAACAATGTGTGGGTGGTCCTACCACTGTCAGTCAAAAAAGAATTTGTCTTAGAATGTGAAAACTCAACATGTAAAATTCTTTTTTGTGTAGCAACAGCATAAGAATTTACTCTCCGAGCATGAACATCTTGTAGTGACTTTGGAAGACCACAAGAGTGCACTAGCTGCTGCACAGGTTAGAAGGGTAGCAGCCTCTATCAGTTCTTTTTCAAGTCTGCTTAACATTTCTGAATTCCTTTGTGCATGTAGTCTCTTAAAAGCCAATCATCAGCGAATTCCTTAGGACAGAGCTATCCTAATCCTGAGGATCATGCATGCTTTCAAAATTCAGTCAAGAGAATATGAAATAAACCTTTGACTATTTTTTGCACTGGTTGTGTAGCACGTAGGACTGTTTCTACCCTGCAGCATTCTAATACGTGTTTAAATCACAGAAATTATTCCATACATATGGCCTCTCGCCACTGTCTGACCTGTGTTGACTCTTGCATTAGGATTTATGGGACTTTATGACGCTAGCTACCTAAATAAATTATCGTCAGACTTTTTCATTCCTCCCTCGCTTGCTGCTGGCATTTCAGCCTACACACACAGTCCTTTTGGGACCAGGCCGATGTGTTGTTGGTCCAATTACAGAAAAAAAAGAAGAGGTCTCATGTCAACAGGGAAGGAAAAACTAGTTGTAAGTTCCCTTTGGTCAAAGTCCCTGGCACAAGGCAGGTCCTCAGCAGATATTTCCTGACCGAACAAATGAACAAGCACTGGTGCTGAAGAGCTTATCAAAGCAACGCCATACCGAGGGGTCCACGGCCTTCTAGCAGAAGCAAAGAATGGGAGTGGCTGGCGAGGCACTCTGGCTTCTCGATCTTTAGGTCTTTACTTTTTTCTCCTGGAAGAATTCAGAGGAAAGGGCAAAGGAAAACCAACCATCTCAACTTATCAGGAGACCGTGTATTATTTCTTCTCTTTATGAAATTATTAGTAGTATAATATGGTGGGCCCTGGAGCCTGCATTTTTAACCTGATCCTTCCGTGAGTCCTAATGCACACTGATGCTTGAGGACCACAGCGTTAACACCTTCAGAGATTACACATTTAGCAGGAGGAAGCAGAAAGGCTAGAATTTAGGTTTGTGTGTTCCTCCATAATTATCTTAAAATATTTGTATTATCGCTATGTGGATGCTGGTTGTTTTTTTCTTTGACCTCCAAAGTTGGTTGGCAAATGTTTGATAGATTTCTGGGCTAAGGGCCCCTGTTAGCCGTATGGCACGCCTTAGTACAAATGATAAAGAAGCACTCCCGTGAGACATTTACAAGCAGACTTCTTCACCTTTGTGTGAATTAGAAAAAGGGGAAGAGGCTGTGGCCTCTCCTCGGGTGGGCAGCGCTGGGCAGGCGCTTTGTCAGCCCGAGCACCGGAGAATTCCCGTCTGCAGCGCCCTCTCTGCTGTGCACCCGAGGGAGGCTCCCCGTTGGGAAGCTTGTTCAGAAAAAGACCTCTGTGTTCTTTGAGTTTCTGTAAGTGTGCGTTTGCACACACAGCATTTCTGTTTTAGGGTAACAGTGTTGGTGCACGTGATGAGCTAAGTATAAACAGTGTCTATTCATTTTCGCAGTCAAGGTCTGATTTTTTTTTGCCTTTCTAGCTCCTTGTGTTAAAAATATTACACGCACACACCCCACCACATATACACACAGATATATCTAAAAGAGTATATGCTTTTTTACACCTACATTAGTGCCTTTATCACTTTAGAAGAAAGGTACATTCCGAATTGAGGAATAAAAATCCAGCCTCGCTTCATGTCTAACTATTTCTTTCAAAAAACCACAGAGCACAATAGTGGAAGTGTTTTGGGGAATAAGGGACCCCATTTGAGCAAAAAGAGGGTGGCCTGAGTGATTTCACCTATATATATTCAGTTACTTATCTTAAGCTTACTCCTTTCCACTGAAAAATGTTACTCGGACCACATTGGTAAAAGATATCAGCACCTGAATTTATAATTATGTGAATTTTTAATAGATTTTTAGATGATATAAAACTGATTGCATAGATGTCTTTTAATAATGATAATGTACTAGAAAGTTATTTAGAAAAATTCTGACTTTGTTCAGTGTAGCATGGGAAACTAACATCTGTCTTTGATATTTTTTTCTCTGTTCCCTGTAACTCTAATTCTAATTTGCATGTGCTTAAAAAAGGTTATGCATGTCCAAGTAAGATTAGCTAATGCATGGAAACGATCTTCATATTTTTTCTAATTTGAATTTAGGTGTAATAAATTCCAGTGAAGCCTAATGCCCACCCATGAGTGATATCTTTTTCCCTCTTCAAATTGTGCAATTTCTATGCAGACTCAAGTTGCAGAATATAAACAACTGAAGGAGACTCTGAACAAGATTCCCAGCTTTCGAAGAGCGGAACCAACAGAGCCGCCAAGTGTTACTCAGGTGGCACATTCTCCACAAGGCGACACCACGGCAAGGGAGAATCGAGCCGGAGAGCCGCAGGAGGTAAGAGGCCAGTAGCCTGTGGTCAGATCCCTGTCAAGCTGACATCAGGCGAACTGCTCTTCCTGCAGAACAGCGGTTCTCAAATATCAGGGTCCCCAGCAGGGCTGTTCAAACGCAGATTGTTGGGCTCCAGCCCAGGGTTTCAGACTCAGCTGGTTCAGGGTGAGGCCTGAGGACTTACATGTCTGATCCAGCCGGTCTGGGGAGCACACTTTGAGAACTACTGCAGTACTTTCTGGGAAATACGGTGGCTTTGTCTTTATTTGTGTGGACTTATTTGTTTGAAAGGAGCTGTCTTGTCCTGAGATTTTTAAAGTTTTGTGTGTTTTTTTTAATCTTCACCTGTGGACATGCCTACAGAGAGAAAGGATGGGGGTGGGGGAAAGAGAGAGAGAGAGAGATGGATGTGAGAGAGAAACATAAGCTGCCTTCTATAAGTGTCACAACTGGGGATTGAACCTACAACCCATATATCTGTCCTGACCGGAATCAACCTGGCGACCTTTTGGTGCACAGGACGACACTCAACCAGCTGAGCCACTCCAGCTGGTCAAGGTTTCTTTTTTGTGGTAGAGTGAGAGGCTGAATGACCATGCGTATATAATGTGACCATCAGCCCACTCAAGTATTAAAGTCGATAACGTATTTGAATTTGATGCAGTGCTTGGTCCACATGGAACATGCCAAAATCTGTATGAAAAGGCCTTTATGAAACTACCAAGGGCATGAGTGTTGGTGTCAGGGTCGACCTTTTTGTCTTCCTGTTCTTCATGAAGACTAAGCCTCGCCTAAGATTATAAACAGGACATCGAAAGTAGTGTCACGTTAATTGTGAATTCTTATAGTTCATTTTGCAATCACAGGTGTCATAAGAAAGGCCAGTATGGTGATCTTTCCTCTGACAAAGCTGTTAGAGTGTTTGAGAAGACTCGCCCCCAGTTCCCATCTTATAGGAATAATTGAGTGATGCGAGTCTTCAGTCCGCACGAGCGTTTCTTCACAGATAGGTTCTGTGTCCTCGTGGACCCTTGTTCTCTGTCTGGGTCTCAGGTTACTACTAACTTATGAAAACACGACCAGATCCCTGACCGGGGAATCGGGTTTGTTCTCTCCCCTAGTTTGATAGTCTGTGGGATTAATCTTTAAATGACTCGGAGCTTCAGTTTTCCCATCTGCGAGGTTGGAGGTAGCTGTGTTCAGCTCTAACCTTTCTCTCAGGGATAGTGCGGAGATAAATGACAGGTGTCTGAGAGCACTTCGTGTTCTTTAGAGAAATAAACCCAGAGCAGCAGCATGTCACACTCGCCAGGTATGTGAGGATGTTGGTAAATGTACATCTCTAAAAGGTGTTCTCAGATGTCCGAGAGAGGACTTTTTCTCCCAGGATTATTTATATATTTATACAATCCAGTTCCTTAGTTATATTCCTGCTAACTTAAGAAGAGGCCTTCACATTTATTTCAATTATGGGGGAGCAGTCTGACCAAAGAAGTTGTTTCTTCTGGCAAAGAAAGAGGTGGGGAAAGGAGTGACAGATGCTCCAGTTGACATGATCTCATGTCCACTTTGCCCCCCTGTTCTAAGTAACGAAGATCGCGTAGAAAGCTCTGAAACTTGCAGGGAAAACGGATTTAAATAAATTAATTTTAGAAGAGGGGTACTCTTTGGACATGCTTTTTTTTGGTTCAGTTTTCTTTATTAACAGTACAAAATACAAAAGCCTCCCTCTGGTTTATGAGGAAACAGTACTTTAACATATTGAAAAGTGTTACGTTTCTGGTTTACCGGGCACTGTTTTTAGCTAACATGGATGTCCTTCTTTTTCTTACTAGCTAATAAAAACAAACCCAACTCATTCTTTATTTGATCTTATTCTTTTCAAATCATTATTTAAGACAAAATTTACGTTGAAGAAAAGCGTGTCAGTGTTTCATCCCTCGTATGAAGGTTTTCCCCCCTTCATTTTAAGGGAAGACAGGAGCTAGACTACTTTTGAGGTAAAGGCCTGCTGAGATGTGGTCACTCACAGGCTGTGCTTTTAGGTTATTTGCTGTGATCTCTCCCAGATGAAATTTGCTTGTGCATTTTCTATTTCGTAGGTGAGGTTGCACAGCGAGAAGAGTTAAATAAATGACTGTTGCAGCCATGCGTTTTAGTCAGGACTCTCTATTTCTAGACTTCAGGATGTTCCCTGTGTTGTCACCCTACAGACGTGGTTATAAAGAAATTCTCTGACTCCTTTTGAAGTGGGAGAGTGTCATTTCCAGGGCTGTGCTTGGCCTAGGTGTCTCGAAACAGCGATGCGTGGCCGAAGCGTGGAGCTGTGCCTGGAAGGACAGAAGAAACAAAAGCTTACGCGCCCACCCAGAAGGAGGCAGAGCTCCAGGCTCCAGCAGGGCTGAACCGGCAGCAGGTGGACGCCAGAGACACCGAGGGGCACCAGGTGGAAGAGGAACACAGGAGGGCCCTGGAGGAGGAGGCCATGGAGCAGGTGGGGCAGGCCGAACATCTGGAGGAGGAGCACGATCCGTCCCCAGAGGAGCAGGACCGGGAGTGGAAGGAACAGCGGGGACAGAAAGAAGGCACCAACCTTCTGGAAGGGCATGCTCGTGCCGAGGTAGGCGGGCATCCACTTCAGGGGGGCTCCCCTGAGGTTTTTCTGGCTGAGATATAGGGGGCGTAGCTTTGATTTTAAATATTTAAGAGAAAAGCTTCCCCATACATGACAATCTCTGAAATAAAAATGTGAGTGACTTCACTGAATGTTACATGCACATAAGTTTTCTTTTGTAGCGTTAATTGCAGACCTACTTGCATACCTAAGAAAATTCTTTGGAGGAAAGAGAAAGAGCTGCTGGTCTATGTATGTGCCCTGTGTCCACAGTGTACAGTACAGGAGATGCCTGCTCACATCCCTTTAACAGAGCAGCATAGGTGAGCACCTGACTGGGCACCTTCCCAGAATGGGCTCAAGCCCTATGGTCCTCTTGAGGGTGAGAAAAAGTCTGATTTTCTATGATCAAAGGTTTCTTCTCCCTGCTCATTTACTTTCAAGTATACGCTTGCTTTTGCCCACTCACCTTCAAGGTGGTTATTAAGTTGTCAGAAAGCTCATCTTATCGCTTAAGGTGAGCATGTTTAACCTCTGCTCAGGCTCCCCCTACTGTGCACTCCCCTCTCACATCAGTAAGATTTTCAAAAATGATTCATTATTTTTATAAATGGTACTTTAAAAGAACTTAAAGCAACACTGAATGCAGCTAGGCACCTTTCTTCCACTGTCTCAAAGCTGATACTCAACAACAGGCTGCCTGGCCCTCGCATAGATACTGTCACCTTTTATTTATAACTGAAGCTGTGTTTGGCTTCGAACTCTCCAAGACGTCAAGCTGCTGGAGACATTAGGCTGAGTAGTGTGAAAGTCTCTATGGCTGGATTCTGATACTGTTGCCAACTTAGCATCCAGAAGCCTCTCCCAGCTTTGTGTCCTTCGTGGCTTTCTTCAAAAGTAATTCCTCACTATGCCTATGGTGTCAGTTGGGGGATGGAGGGGGTTGGGGGAGCTCTCAATGGGAAGCAGAGTCTAAGAATCCCTGCATCAGATTTTCCTTTGATCAGAAGGTACTATCTTCTCACCCATTCTTTGTTTTTTGGAAGAAAATTGATTCTCTGCTTTTCCACTCTAGTCTGAAATTTCACTTTTTAGCGATGTTTCACTTGTGATTGATACAGACATTGCTAGAGTTAATTAGCATCCGTAGGTCTTTAGCCTCAAGCTCACAAATTGCCCCAATTAGCGTGAGATCACCAAGTTCCCACTTATAGCAGAGCCTTTTGAACATAAATTTAATTAAGGTTCAAATCTGATTTCTTCTGTTTGTCTTCTTTCATTTGAGAGGGAGCACATTGAAAATTGGCCTTCAGGCCAGTAAGTCGGGAGGATCAGTTACTGAGAAGCCAAGGGCAACTCGTAGGGAGCTGGGAAATAGGAGTCCTAGCACTGGGTGACCTTGAACCTCATGTGTAGTCACTGTTCACCTGACATATAGGTATTAATGTACCAACCCTGCCTCCTGAGGTTGTCATGAGGAAAAAAATGAAGGGAGAATTCAGAGGACATGACTGCTTTTGTCCAACGCCAGCTTGTTTTTCCCCAGGTGCATCCTTCAGCACAGCCTGTCACCAGGTTCCGATCCCCGTATGAGGAGCAGCTGGAACAGCAGAGACTGGCGGTGAGGCGGGCAGAGGAGGCCCAGCGGCTGCGAGAGCGCCAGGAGGCGCTGCACCAGCAGAGGCTGCAGGGACACTTGCTGAGGAAGCAGCAGCAGCAGCAGCTGCTGGCCCAGGAGATGGCCCGGCAGAGGCAGGCCCGGCACGAGGAGGGGCGGCCCCAGCGCCTGGAGCAGCTACGGTAGCCTTCCGATGGGCACGGACGGCTCCCCCGCCGGTTTTTAGAAGCAGATTAAAAACAGCTTCGTGCATTTGTTATCTGTAAACTTGAAGGGCCCGTACTGCTTCTGTATCTGAGGCAGAAGTAAATTCCAAATATTTAATTCTAAAAATAATCAACTTTTCTTTCTGCTTAACAATGATAGTTGAGGTCTCGGAATAATCCAGCAGGTTTTGTGCCAACTTGTATTTTATCATTTGAAAGGTAGTTCATCTTTTTTAAGGTATCCTTTGAAAGTATATCCGGAACCTTTATGAAACCTAATGGCATGAGCTTTTTAGAGAAATTTTTATGGCTTTCAATAAAAATGTTGAAAAATTAGTTTATTACTGTCTTTAAAGATAAATGACTGATGTCAAACTGTGATACTTAATTTGTGTCGCTGAGTTGGTAATGTTTGCGCCCCTTGCAGGCAGCAGGCTCATTACGATGCTGTGGATGAGGACATTGTGCAGGGGGCAGAGGACCAGGGCACCCACAAAGAAGGAGGTGGTAAGACGTCTTAGATGATGGATGTTCGAATAAAACTGCTTGGTAGTATGTTTCAACTCGGAGTTCGTGCATCTCCGAGCACATGCAAAGGAGGCTTGTGTTCCGTCTGTCTTTCGTTGCTGTGTTTTCCTTAATCCTTCCAAACCGTGCCCATTAGTAGCCAAAACTGCCCAAGATAATGTTTCTTCTGCAACGTTTTTGAATAGAAAGGAAATAGTAGTTTAAGCTTTTGTATACGGCATAGTTATTTCTGACGCGTTATCATAAGACTGTTCTGCTTTGGGAAACTTCTTCATTTTTCTCCTTGGTTTGGAGGCTTTTGGATCATTGCCTTAAAAGTTTTCAAAAATTAAGTCAATAGTAGCTTTCCTCTGCAGTGTGCATCTGGTATGCAATTTATCGAGTGTTGCTCTCTGTGACAATAGAACTAGAAAGTAGCTGTCTCCCTGACAACACTAACACTTAGATACGTATTCTCTCCAGAGTCTGAAGGAAGGTGATTACCCGAGCTCCCTCTGTAGCCTGCTCTGGTATTTTATAGCCCTTATAGTCAAGAAATTGTTCCCCGCATGTCCCCTGTGCAGCACTTTAAGCTTTTTGGTTCTGTTATCAGTAAGACTAGAGAATGGTTTGTTCACCTCTTTATTTAACGAATCCCTCGGTGCACTTGAAACCCGATGGTGACTTATCCTGTATCTTTATTTTCTGTGCGTTAAATACTCTCCATATACTTCACTTTTCCTCTTACTTTAAAAGTCATTTGCTCTCTTTGTATGCTCTTGTCCAAATTTTCTTTATCAAAATATTTTTTTCAAAAAGCAAGTAAATGTCTGTGCGAGTATAACGTGGATGTATCTGTGTCGTGGCCGTCACCATCGCTGCGACGCCGGAGAGCACGGGATGGGCAGCATTTGTTTTTTCGTTCCACGCATGGGGTTCTTTCTTTTACTTCCTGAAACAGCATCAGTTTCTACTTTGGTACTTTGCTATCTCCTCTGGTATTACCAAAAATTAGTTGGTAATTTTAGTAACATCCCCAGTTGGCTGGCTTTTATTGAGAGTTTTGATTGTTGATTTTTGCAAAATGGGGTGGAGGGTGAGGAATCGCAGTTTCTGTTATAAACATTTGTTTCTGGGAATTAGAACGGTGCTGCTCACCCGCACGGTCTCCTTAGACACACCGTCTGGGAAAGGGCGTGATGTTATTCAGAAAAGCCGAGGCGCACGCCTTACTTTGAGTTAACCTTGCTGGAGGAGAGATTGGGTGAAATGGTCACTGGAAAAGCCTACCAGTGGCTTTTGTTTTGTGAAGGGAAAGGGTCCTGTCTGGTTCATCTGGGCTGATGTTAGTTCCTTTGATTTGCTAGCGTATGAGAGAGACAACCAGCACCAAGATGAGGCAGAAGAAGACCCAGAGAATGGACGTGAGCCTCGAGAACAAGGGCTCCATGGAGCGGACCCGGAATCTGAGGCAGACGTAAGTGTTCTCTCTTCTGGTCATGACACTCAGAAACTCCCAAGGTGGAAAAGGAACTTGAAGGTTTGCCTGACACCAGGCCTCTGGTTCCAGATACGCCTGTGATTTCATCAGCACAGAGGGAAGGCGGCTTGCATAATTATATGATATGTTGTTAACCGTGGAGGGTGTGTGATGAGAAGGGGTTAATGTTTGCTCTGGGAAAACATCAAAGGATTCTTTCTCTAATGACTTCTAGATTAATAAATTAAATTAAAAAAGGAAAGCAAAATTGAAAGGCATTGAAAGATGTAGTAATTTTGAAAGATTATTTTTAAAAAAAGTCAAGTGTGGGAGTTGGAGAGGGAACCAGAGAAAGGAAATTAAGTATTATTGAGCTTGGCGAGCAGTCTGCTAGTGCGTGTTATGTGTGTTATGTCACTAATTTCCCAGTAGTCAGTAAGCGTTTTCATAAATACATGGATAAGAATTTGTGGCTTGAGAAGTGAAAAAAGTTGCTCAAGTACCGTAATGCTATATTGTGTTTACCTAGAAAGGACTAAGACCCCCAGTTCAGCTGGGTGGCCTGGGGCCTTGGCCTTGCCTGTAAGTATAGGGAGCAAATGCTGAATGGGCATGTTCTTGTGCTTATGTGTAGGTGGTTTTCACAACTAGCTTTAGCCCTCCTGTCATCTTTTGCTAGTAAACCAACCACCATGTTTATAAAATTTAGCCCATGCTGTCCCATGGGCCCTGTTTCTGTTGACCCAGTGTGATTGAATAAAGGCTCCACGTCCTTCCTGGATTATCGTTGACAAAGTCTTCCTGATGGCTGCCGAAAGCCGCCTTGATGGGAACGGCTTTCCCACTCAACTTGCAGGGAGAGATGGCAGAACACGTTTTCCTGCCAGCCCTGGGATTAGCATTTTGAAAGAATGCTCCAGGAAACCCTAGCCCTGAGATATTTCCAGGAAAGAAGAAGAGCTGTTGAGAGCGGGAGAGTCGGAGAGAGCCAGAGGGTGTGAAAGAGCGAGGGAGTGTCCATGAGAGGGAAGCAGAGTGTGTGAAAAGCCTGAGTGTGCCCGAGACGGAGGAAGGGGGACAGGGAGAGGATGAGTGTTCAGTCAGGGACATCTGGGCGACACTGCGTGCTTTGATGACTTACCATCTTTCTTCTATTGTCAGTTTGCTCATTTTGGAGAACACACAGGAAACATTGGCCTCTCTTCTCTACCATGCCTTCTTTTCATTAGAGACTGTTAGCCCCCGTGTCCCTCTCTCTGTCTTATGTATTTCATTTGTGTGTTTTTTAAAATAATTTTTAATTTTTTAATTACATTTGATGCACAATATCGTATTAGTTTCAGATGTACAACATAGTGACTAGACATTTATATAACTTACGAAGTGAGCACCTGGATAAATCTAGTACCCATCTGACACCATACATAGTATTCATAGTATTACAATATTATTGACTGTATTCCTTATGCTGTGCTTTTATCCCCGTGACTGCTCTGTAACTACCAATCTGTACTTCTTAATTCCTCTACCTTTTTCCAATTTAGTTATTGTATTAGGATATAACAGCCATGCCTGTTAAACCTTACTTATTATGTGGTCAGAGTTGGAGCTAGTGTGCATATTTTTATTAACTTTTGCAATAGCTTTGCTATTTTTTTTTCCTGAAGAGAATGTGTGACCTTTTTTTTCTATTTCCACATGAATTATTGATAATGCACACAGAAAAATCCATGTAACGAGAGATGGCGGAGTACCCGGGGTTTAGTGTGCAGGCAGCACTTTGTCATTCTGTGTCGTCCCCAGAAGAGTGTCATTTGCACTTGAATGGGGTGCGGAGCCAGGATGTGCAGATAGCGGTTTAGCGGAGACGGCAGTGAGCTCTCGAACACGTCCAGGGCTCCGAAGTGAATCCAAGTAGAATGGTGTCTGGAGAACACGGCGAGAGACTCAGTCTCACTCGGAGCCTCGCCGTCTCCAGGAGCACTTGCTGCTTCGGTCACGTGTCCTATCGATGGCGCCGGAGTGGTGGGGCAGCTCGCACAAGCATCGCCGTTTCTGCCCGGCTCAGGCTCCGAGATCGGAATCTTTATGAGGTCATGCATTATTTTGAAAGGCGCTTTGGGAGCTTAAGTGGAAAATTGAGATAATTCTAAACTTTGTAATATGAAGGGAATTTGTTGAACGCCAGAACTGAGAACTGCTTGGCGGGGGGGGTGGGCCAGGGGAGAGATTTTTCAAAATATATTGCCAGAGGTGGGGTTAGCTCGGTGGTCGTGCGGCCCTGGCCAGCGCAGCGTCCCTCGGCGTCCTGACGGTGTTTGTCGTAAAGAAAAGGGATCCGTACTAGAAACTGATCATTTGCTTTTTTTTAAAAAATATATCTGTATTGATTTCAGAGAGAGGAAGGGAGAGGGAGAGAGAGATAGAAACATCAATGATGGGAGAGTCATTGATCTGCTGCAACCCGAAACCGGGGCATGTGCCCTGACCGGGAATCAAACCCTGATCGCCTGGATCCTAGGCCAATGCTCAACCGCTGAGCTACGCCCGGCTGGGCTGATCATTTACTTTTGATCTGGCCTTCCCTGGGTCCTTCCACACGGGCTTGCTTTCTCTCCCGCTGCAGTTTCACCCACTTACACGGAAAGGGTTGCTCACGAAGGAAAGTTTGTCTGTATAAACATCACTGAATGGAGTTACTGTTTGCCCATCTAAGTCTTTCATTTTAATTATTTCTCCAACTTGGTGTTTTGGTTCTTATTGGCTCTTTTCCTTGTGTCTGTCTCGCTGTGCTCGCATTACTTGTGGTCGTGCAGTGTTGAGGACTAGTTTGGAATCCCTTACAGGAGAGAAGGGCCAGTCGTGTTTCATTCCGATGCATCAGCCTCTCGCACATGACGCGGGAGGTTTGTCTTTGGACGGCGGGCGTTGTACTTGCGTCCCGGCAAGGATAGATCTGAGCAATCCGCTGAAGGACGAGTTCATTTTCTGCCCCTGTGTGTCCTTTCAAATGAAATTAAACTTGATCTGGGTTTTGAAGTGGTGGTTGCTCTTCATTAAAATTTTACAGAGGGCAGCCGTAGAGGATATCAACCCCGCCGATGACCCCAACAATCAAGGCGAAGATGAATTTGAGGAGGCTGAGCAAGCGAGAGAAGAAAACTTGCCGGATGAAAATGAAGAGCAGAAACAAAGGCATCAAAAGCAAGGGAATGCAGAAATGGAGGAGCATTTGGTGGTAAGTGGAGACCACTACGGAGGGCGGTGTCCCCCGGGTATTCTAATAAATGCCTGGTTTATGCAAAAGATGCGTCATAACCGACATTGACAGGAGGTTTGCCTCTTTGGCTGGTTTTCAGGCCGTTATGTGAAATGATGTGTCTGCACTCAGAGAGAGAGGGTGACGGATGGCCTGGGCTTTGTGTTGGGAACGATTACTCATTATTTCCTGGCCACCGAGGCATTGAAAGCACACTGGTGGTGGCGGCCTGCTCGTCCTTTGTCCCGGAGCACCGTAAGCCACAGCTCCCTGGCGCAGTAACCTGAGCCTCCGCTTTGTTTCCACAGATGGCCGGAAACCCAGACCAGCAGGAGGACGCTGTTGATGAGCAGTACCAGGAGGAGGGGGAGGAAGAGGTAGGCTGCCCGACGGCAGGGCCCTGAGCACGCGGCCTGCTGTCGCACACTCGCCGTCACCCAGCCTCAGCAGCCCTGGCTTTGATGTGCCTTTTATGGAAATGTTTATGGAAAGACTTAGGCAGGACAAGAAAGCGGGTTTCAAGAGGAAACAGATGGTGGCCGTGGAGACACTGGGTAGAAAATAACAATAGCAGGGTGATAGACCCCCTTCTCTCTGGCTCTCACTAGAAATTTTGAATTAAGAAGACATTTGGCCTTCCAGGAATAGTGGACGTGGGTATACGTGGTCTTTGGAAGAATATTTCCTGCTGTATCTTTCCTGCATAAAAGAGAAGAACAAGGCTCCGCTGGGAGCCTGGACTAACCCCGCAACTTTCCCTGTAGACGTTGTGCAGCGCCTGCCTCCCTGGGGTGCCCCACAGTGTCTGTGGGAATTCGCTGCACACCCTGCAGACATGTAAAAAGAATTTTATGGGCTCTACTTTTAGCCTTTTCCCTCCCAGGAATTTGGTATCTTAATTAAATTTAACAATGAAGAAAAGGAAAAATAAGGAGCTCAGTTGGATAAAATGCATTTGGGGAGAAATTCTTAACCTTTCATTTTAGTTTGCTTTTTTATTGTAAACTTCTGGCACATTATGGTAGTTAGTCTTGGAGCATTTGTGTAATTGACGGACAAGTGCTGTTGGTTGTAGCCACTTTGTCACAGCACTTTACTATATGGGCACCTGAAGCTCAGTACTTGGGAACATGATGTAGATGAGACCAAGGCCCCATGGTTAGTCTCTCCCTGGACCAGTAAGATGCCTCTCTGTCAGACGTCTTGCTAATATGTAGCTTTGGCCCTAAGGGGAACTGCATAAGAGAATGGACAAATGGCAGCCTGAACACACCCTTGCCTCCCCAACCTAAGACCCTGCTCAGAACACCTGTGCTGCTGCACTCGGTACACAGTTACCACCTGGGACCCTGCTCAGAACACCTGTGCTGCTGCACTCGGTACACAGTTACCACCTGGGACCCTGCTCAGAACACCTGTGCTGCTGCACTCGGTACACAGTTACCACCTGGGACCCTGCTCAGAACACCTGTGCTGCTGCACTCGGTACACAGTTACCACCTGGGACCCTGCTCAGAACACCTGTGCTGCTGCACTCGGTACACAGTTACCACCTGGGACCCTGCTCAGAACACCTGTGCTGCTGCACTCGGTACACAGTTACCACCTGGGACCCTGCTCAGAACACCTGTGCTGCTGCACTCGGTACACAGTTACCACCTGGGACCCTGCTCAGAACACCTGTGCTGCTGCACTCACTACTCAGTTCCCTTGTCTAGGTCTGCTTTCTCATTTTTGTTGCATTTGTCAGCTTTCAGAGCTAATGCTAAAATTTGTGCTTATGTCAGGAAAACAAAAGGATGTTGCTCTTTACAGCTGTTGATAACATAAATTTTAGTCACGTGCACTCCAACTGGCTTGATCTTTCTTTCAGTCTCTCTTTTCTCACCCTGCTGTTCATCCTGAGCTGTCTTATCAGAAAAGAGCATTAGAGAAACACGCAGCCTTGAATATTAAGACATTTGGCAAGAAAAAAAATACTCATCTGGACTTCTCTTGTAACAGGATGTCTAGACTAATATTACTTTATTTCATTATGGCAGATGCCAGGAATCTTTGTGGGATTAAAAGCAAAGAGGGTTCACCTTGGCTTCTTTTTAAAAATTCAGAAGGGTAAACATAAAATTTTAATCAGTATTTAGTGATGATTTTTTACCTCTATATTATGTCAGTTAAGGTAGGGAGAGAAATCCTGTGATCCAAGAGGGATCGAGGATAAAAAGAAAAGAAAGAGACCAGGGGGAGGAGAATGGTGATCAGGCAGATGTCAATGCCTTGCCCACGACAGCTGCTCCCTCAGGCTGGGGCTCTTCCTCCCTCCACTCGGTGGAACCGACGAGCACCCTTTCCTCTCGCTGCACCGAGCCCAGGTGGTCCTGCTTCTCTTTTTCCAGTTCCCTGCCCAGAACCCCTGTGCTTGGGATCTGTGTCCCCACTTTCTAACCCCATCTTGCATAGGCTCCCCGTTGCCACACCCTCTCATTTAGGATGTTGCCCTGTGGACTCCCCAAGGAAGCCCAGCACGTCTTTCTTTTCCTCTCTGCAACTTCCCTCTCTGCCCACACACGTCCCTTGTTCAGGCTGTATTGTCTTTTTCTGGTAGTTCTGAGATGCTGATTGTTGGATCTTCCCACCTCTTTCTGTTGTTCCCAGTTCTTTCCTTGAGGAGGGCAGAGGAGAGTCGTTCCCAGATACTATTCAAGGACTAGTAACAGAGACAAAGATCTCAGCAGGCTCCACCGAAGTGAGAAAAATAGAGAGGAATACACTATGGAGAAAGCATATTGTGTTCATTTATAAGTGATTGTGTATGAGACACTGGGTGGGCACTCTGACAACCATCAAATACTGTATAGTGTACATCGTTGTCACCATCAAGCCTCAGAGTCTCCTAGCTGCCCCAGCTGACCACCGGGGTGTCCGGCTCACTGCTCCCGTTGGATCCCTTCCCCTCGAGAGGAAGTGTATCTCGCTAGGGCAATACCTGTTCAGAGGTGCAGCCTATTAGCCTTGTGACTTGACCTCTGAGAGTAGAGGACCCAAAACCAGTGTGATTTTAATAAATTTGCATGGTCCCTGCTTGTTTTGGTCTTAGTACAGTGGTATTGATCACCCTTGAAAGACAGAGAAATGATGGTTATTGACAGCATTGTTTATTGTTTATGATTGTTTGAGCGAAAGACATTCATATAGTGATTCCATCATCATGTTTCCTTACTTCCCAGATCTTTTTATCTACTTATGAGCAAATAAGACAAGTTACAACATTGCCCAAAAACACACTCTGTGTGCTTTAAAATTACTTAAATTTAAAAAAAAAAAAAAAGGTAGATTGAATGCTTGAAAATCCTGAGTGCTCAGTTTCCCCAATATAACTGACCACAGATTAATCTGAACACTCAGGAGAGAGCAAGCACAGGTTATGTGGGGACCTTTAGTGGTACTGCCGGCCTGTGAACCACCACAGCAAGAAGCTGTCCAGACGGCAGAAACTCTCCTGTTAAACATCACTCAGTAAGCAGTGGTGCCCATCACTATAGCTGGCATTGCTGAAGGCCTTTCTTTGGTCACATCCCATCCACCTGTTTGGATCCTAGCATTCTTGACTACTTAGAGTTCAGCCTTCTGGCTCCTGGCTCATCGCATAACATCTTTGATGTATAAAAGAAAGGAGTTAATACATATAGGGACAGGGACAGGAACAGGGAAAGGGGTAGCTAGCCAAAACCCACTTTGGACTCAGTTGACCTGTTTTGTTTTGTTTTTAACTTTTTGTTTAAAGATTTTTTAATTGATTTTTAGAGGAAGAGAGAGAAACATTGATTGGCTGCCTCTTATATGCCCCCTACTGGGGATCCAGCCCGAAACCTGGGCATGTGCCCTGACTGGGAATGGAACTGGCAACCTTTTGGTGTACAGGATGGTGCCCAACCAACTGAGCCACACCAGCCAGGGCAGTAGACCTGTTTTGTCTTGTTTTGGCTAGTTATTAAACTGTGCCACATCACACAGGGACCATTTCTAAAATGCTTAAAACATCAGAGTTCAGTGAACAAAAGTGGGTAATGAGGAGCAGTGTTGGGAAATCTTTAACAAAATGTTTGCATCAGCTTTAACAGGTCACTAAAGAAAGTGGAATGTGGAAGACATAATTGCTGTGTCTATATTATTAAAAAGTACTAATGTGGCTTCTGGTTATTAGTCTAAGCATATTTTAAAATCAGAAACTCTTTATCATTTTTTCCCTTTTCAGTAATGCCTGTAAGATGAAATTGAATTACTTTTGCCCCAAACATGAAGAATATATTACTAGAATAATAGGGTGCATCTATAAATCTGAAAAATTACAAAATTTTCATTTATGGGTTCCATAAATTAAAAAGTAATCTAAATCAGTACTTCCCTCCTCATATTATGTTGACACATGGTAAACAACCTAAATTTTCTACAACAGATCTGAAGAGAAGAACTCATAAAAAGGGTGTTTATCACTTTAGCCAAAGAAATTCTAGCCAGTATTCATTGTCACTCAAGTGGGTGGCTCTCAGTCTTTGCTGTGGCTAAGAATCACCTTGGAGAGTGTGTGAAAAATACAAATACTAGGTCAGACCATACCCTTGGAAATGTTGATCTTATCTATGGTGCACCCTGGAAGTCAGAGTTGTACACAAGCCCCCCGCTGATGCTGATGTGTCAGGAGCACACTGTTTAGAGAGACAGCCCTAGGACAGAAGTTGCAGGTGGACTTTGGGAAGTCTGAACCTGCCAAAACTTCTGTACAAAATGCTGTGTATCTATACCGATTTGCTAACTACTTTCTTACCAAAGTCTTAAAAGGATCCATGATTCCCTCTACCCCACACACAATTAAAAATCACTGATTTTTATCCAACCTTTTTATTTTACAGATAAGAAATTTGAACTTTAGAGAGGGTAGCTAAATTTTTGAAGGTCATACAGCTTGTTATTGTTAGAATCATGATTAAACCCACTGAAGTCTGATTTTAAAGGCTACCATAATTAAGTATACCCAGTGTGCAATTATGCACGTAACTAAATAATTGATATGGCCAGGTTCTTCTTTATAGAAGTTAGTGAATGCAGAAGGAATGATAGAATTAGAAGGGCACCATTTCTGTAAGCCCTAATTAAAACAATTGATTTAAGAGCAATCATCAATGGACGATATCACTAGATGAATGGAAGTAGGGGAATTTTACCATGGAGGGTCAGGCTGTCACTGTCAGGCGCACTGAACAATCTTAGCCTCACTAAAAGTGGGACAGACATTAAGTACCTTCTGATGTGATGAAAATATGAATTCTCCAGCATCACCTCTAAAAAACTCTTACTTTGCAAATTGAATCGAATTCATCCAAGCCTTAAGCTGACTTGCTTTTATATAAGAAATGTCGGGGCTAAAGGAATGAGTTAAGTAATACCTTAAAGAAGCAAATAAATGCAGAACGTGGGTCTTTCTAACAAATCAATAACTTTGAGGAAAAAAGAAGGGAGCAGAACCTAAGCTAGGTGTGACCTTTGTTTGGATGACTAGAACAAACCAGCTGTAAATAGACATTTGTAAGACACTTGGGAAAATGTGAAGTATGGACTAGACACTAGGTGATACCATGGAATCATTTATCAGGTGTTTTAATGGCATGCTTATATAAGAAAGGTCCATTGTTTTCAGAGATATATACAAAGATGGGTAGGGGTGAAATTATATGATGTCTAGAATTTTGAAGAATAAATCATCATTAAATAAAGAAGAGCAGTGCCCGGCCGGGCGTGGCTCAGCGGTTGAGCCTCGACCTAGGATCCAGGCGATCAGGGTTCGATTCCGGGTCAGGGCACATGCCCGGGCTGTGGGCTAGGCAGCCGATCAGTGACTCTCTCATCATTGATGTTTCTATCTCTCTCTCTCCCTCTCTCTTCCTCTCTCTGAAATCAATAAAGATATATTTTTTTTTTTAAAAAGAAAAGCAGTAAATGATGCAAGTGTGGCACATTGTGATGACTTTTGAATCTTGGTGATGACTATAAGGAGTTCATGAAATTATTTTCTTTATTTGTGAGCGCTGGAAAATTTTTATAGTAAAAACAAATGACCTCATTGTTTATACAGCCAGCAGAGTTGCGGAACCAAGGTTTTATCCAGGTTTGTCTGACTCCATAGTCTGTGTTAGGGGTTGGCAACTACTGGCCTCAGCCTGTTTTGTAAGTGAAGTCTTATTGGAACACAGCCATGTTTTTATTTGCATGTTGTCTGAGGCCGCCTCTGCACTACAGTGGTAGAGCTGGGTAGTTGCTACACTGTATGGCTGAGAAAGCCTGAATATTTACTATCTGGCCTTTTACAGAAAAGTGTGCTGACCCTGATTTATATATTCTTTCCACCATGCTGCAGTTTCAAGGCAGTTTCTTCCCAACCCCAACCAAGCCAAGCTATTGTTCACTGGTGTATTTTCATTATTGCAGCTATAGCAGACATATCTATTCACTGATATCGACCAGGACACTTGAGCAATTTAACGATGTTTCAATTAGTGAGACCTTAATATAGTCTGAATTAAATGCTTCATCATGTTCATTCCAGTGTCCTGGGGAATGTTGTTAGGAGGTTCTGTGACCAAGGGCAGAACAATGTCATGGACCATAGGTAGAGCCTGCCAGTGCAATGTGTGTCTTCTCTCTAGCTCGCCCCACCAGGACATGTGAATACAAAAGATGCTTTATGCCTTTGTCCCCAGAATGAATTTATTTTGTGCCTGTGTAGTTTAGGGGCTATGAATACAGCTGGCATTGGGTTGGTTAGAGAGGTTCATGAAAGCTGGGCTCTGTCTAGGGCATCCTTGAAAGGTCATTTGTAGGCTCCTAACAGGCCAGGTTCGCTCCAAAGCTTGTCTGGAAGGTTGCAGTTCATTTCTGTTGCACCTGGACTAAACACCTTGAGACAGCCCTTAATTTCTTGCTCCTTAATTAGAACACGTGCATATTTCCTCCCCTTGCCCATTTCTGGGATTTTAAAGATCTCCCCTCTCTGCACCAAAAGAAAAAAAAATCCGGTAATTTTATGTGTTATTCTAGAAGATTTACTCTCTACCACTGTCCTTGGAGAGATCAGGTTTTCTTTTGGTATCAGGACAGTACATTATGCTTAATTGATGGTCAGCAGTTTTTTGAAATGTATTCAAATGACTTAAACCTTTTGGCATATATATGGTTTTCAAAAACAGTTAAATTAGAAAGTATTTCCTAGCATATTTTCCAACTCTTATATTTTGTGGAATGTGATCATTAAATAGAGGTTATTTAGCAAATATAGTTGGATGATTTTTTTAATCTGCATATGAAAAAATAATTGTGATCAGTGACATAATATTAATAGCATTACAGAAAACTATTTAAAAAAGAAATGTCATGTTAGAACACTGAAGAGATATAGGGATTTGAGGCAGTTTAGTGACTATTTTATAAAGAAATTGAAATGATTGTGTTCTATGTTCTGGATATTTTAGCCAGAAATGTTTAGTCTTAATTATAGAAATGTATATACACATTTTCCCCTCCTATCTTATATATAAGCCATGAGGTATGTTTTCTGTGCCTTTACAGAGCAGATATGCTTTGCACTGACTCATTCATTCACTCATTCAACCAGTATTTATTAATCAATTTCAGTGTGCCGGGTTTGAATCTAGGTACAGAAGACAGTTGAGTAAGATTTTTTATAGTAGGTGTATTATACATCTCTTCATTGCTAATAGACAAGTCAAATCTTTGACTTCTGTCTTTTTTTCAAATTTATTTTTAGTTTAATTTTGTTGCTGCTACTTTGAATGAACTCTTTAGAAATCAGAATAGGTTGTTTCCAGTGCTTAAATGATAAAAGTGTCACCTAGTATCTCTGGTTTGTTTTAGGTTCAGGAAGATTTGACTGAAGAGAAAAAAAGGGAATTGGAGCATAATGTTGAAGAGACCTATGGTGAAAATGATGAAAATGTACGTGTGGGATGTGTATTTCTCTTGCGCATGTTTGCGGATGCATAGGCCATCCCTGTGTATAGTTGGATAGACACCAGTCCGTACATCTAGGGTGCCCTCTCTGGAGTTTAACACGCTAACCCAGACTTAGGAAAATGTGTGACAATATGAAGATTAGGAAAGACTGTAGCACTGTTGCCTCTTGGAACAATTTTTTTCACTTTCTTCCTTCTTCCAAAAATGAGTAACTTCTCACCCTTTTTTTTTTTTTTTAAAGAGGGAATTATTTATCTCACTAACTCTATGCCCTATCTCTTAGGTGTTTGCTTTTTTCTTTTAACTTTAAGGCTGATGAGAAAAACAATGATGGAGAGGAACAAGACGTTCGAGACGACAACCGCCCCAAAGGCCGAGAGGACCCCTATGAGGAGGAAGAAGAGGAGGACGGGGCGGCTGTAGCTGAGAAATCACAGCGAAGGGCTGAAATGTAGCTGTGTCCCCGCTTCACACACAGCGCTCAGTGGAGAGATTCCCTGCAAGCTGCTCAAAAGTAAACCTGCCTACTGAACTCTAGGATATTTAATTACAAAAATTAAGAATGTAGACTTTTTTACAACTTTTGTATTAGAAATGCTCATACATTTATATGAATATATTTTGATAACCTAGGTTAGAGCTGCTTTTATATTCAAGCTAAACCTGAGCAAGAAGAAAACAGTAAAGCAAGCCTTAGGCTCTGAATCTCAGTTTTTCAAAGACTGTGATGTTGTAAAGGACATCGATTTTGTATATGTTTCAACTTGTTACTTTTCTATCTTCCAGTTTCCAGGTGTTCTCTTGTTTGCCTTTGACAAAATACAGGATTTCAAAATAAGAAATATTGCAAAAAAATCGAGCAGATGTTAAGGAGAATGGCCAGTTTACTAACTGCTCCCTTTCCGAGGTTCTTGTGTATAATTGTGATGGACTTTTCACCCGTCTGCGTATCTCTGGAATAAGATTCATGTACAGAGTGACATTGCTTTTCAGACTTGTCAGATCAGTTAGAAAAATATTTGGCTTTACTTAAAATCACAGCTATTCTTCTTGAAAGGAATTAAATTTAAAAGTCAGGTAGTACTAAATTCATGTGACAGTATTCTGGAGTTAGATAGGTTAGTATTCAAACAAGATATGACACCTTAGTGTATTAACCTTTTTGAAGGACTGACAGGTTGTTTAATAACGAATTTACTGTGTATGGGTGGTGGTTTCTACATTAGCACCCAGTCAGTTATTTTTCCGACGCCACCTAGCGATACCCTTGTTTCATTACCAGTTCCTACAGTGCTGTATATTTCCCCTGGAAGCTCTGTGCCTCAGTAAGTAATCACTTTGATTACAGTGTGAATATGAAGGTATACCAAAGTGTATAACTAAAAAGGATTATTTTTTAAAAAACTATACGGTGAGGTACATATGGTGGTAGGATAGACCCTGATGACTTTTCTGATTGCTGGGGTTGGGTCTGTGTTATGCCCACAAATAGGCATTTTAATGATGTTGAATTTAAACATTTCTTAAAGAAATTAAAAATCAAACATTTTCCTTGGGATAGAAACATTTCAGTCTCAAGCGTGAAGATTTTTAGATATATAGAATTAGGTTATATAATTCATGTGTGTGGTTTTGTAATAATACTCTCAAATTAATAAAAACAAATTTCAATTTCCGTTGTATGAATGTAATCTTATTTTTTAGTAACCACACTCATGTATGGTTTTGATTGTCTCAATTGAATGATTGTGTATGTATGCATAGGAATGTTTGTTCAAATGTATTTTGGATTTTCAATAATCATAAATCAAATTTTACCTTTATGTATAAAAACCTTTTATGTAATGTAAAATGTATAATATTGTATATAATATTCAAAATACAATTATTTTGGTAAATTAGTTTGTATTTTTAATGTCCCAGTTGCAGTATTTAATTATTTGAAACATTGAAACTTGGTAATAGTCAATAAAGCTATAAAAAGAAAGTGATAAATCTTTTAAAGTATGTGATTTTTTAAATAGTTTATGATTTTAAACATTATCGTAAAAAAGAAAAACTGTAAGAGGTACCAATATATATTAATGAATTATACAATGCCTTTCCTAACTTGTTATTTTCCTTGTCACTTTCCCTACTTGATTGGCATGT